AATGCCTTTGATATAAATTCACATTAGAATATAAACATTATATTATATATAATTAACATTAGAGACTCGTGTATTAGTTACGGTAGAGTACAGACATACATAGATAAATTCACATTCGAATTTGTTTCTTTTTAAAATTACTATTAGAGATTCGTGTATAATTACATTAGGATAAAGACATACACGTGTAAATTCATACTAAAGAACGTGGACGTACTTTCTGACTGATTCTGATATATAGAGAGAAAAAAAAATAGAAAAAATGTTTTTCAAGAACAAGCATCACGTGTGTTGTCTCTTCTGTCAGTATAAATTGATTAACGGTTGTATTTTTAGAAGTATCATATAAAACAATAGTTTTTTTGAGATCAAAATAAAACAGAATATCTTTCGATCTTGATTGATTTCAATTTTATAATTATCTATTATCCATACAAAATAATCAGGTAAGAAAATTGTTTTGTTACTTGTTCTACGTTCTGTATTTTGTAACGAAAAAAAATGTTAAAAGTGAATAAACGAAAATTGTAAAAAACAACTGTTACGTGATGTTTCTTTAACCAGTTGTATGTGATTGAAATTCAAGATAAAAATGTCAAATTTTACTGTTTTGATGCTTAAATGCAGCTATTGTAAAGCAGAACTAAACGAAGTCATATTCTTTCTCACATAAAACTTGCAGCTTCAGTTAAATGTCTTTATGAAAACTGCTCTCAGTTTTATTCTAAATATTCTTCTTTCACGTCACATATTTCACGTTGTCATCAACCTTTGGTCTCTAATTCACCAGTGTTTTCTCAAGTTACACATCACCATATATCGGAAGATTTGAACGATTCCAATCTTGTCAAAAATTTGAATCATTCAAATCTTGCCGGAGATAGTACTGATCAAAATGAACTTTTTGTCCCGGACACCGTTGATATTAAAAAATGCGTTGCGCAATGGTTATTAGAATTAACTGCTAAAAAAATGATACCTTTAAATACAGTACAGACTGTAGTTGAACAATTAAGTGATCTTTGTGCATCTCTCAAAACAATTTAATCAATCGTCTTAGGATACGTTGTCAAGAATTAAATTTTTCATTAGAGCTTACAGATTCTATAATTGAATGTGTAAAAAATGATGAATTATTCAGGCTTTGCATTGTCAACTGTCCATAGGCGGAGAAATTATGCACGAAGCATTTTACCATATGTCGCTCCTGTTACTGTTGAATTAGGCACGAATGCTATGGGTTCACAGCTTACGTGTCAATATATTCCAGTAAGAGAAATGTTAAAAGTGTATCTTGAAAATCCTGCAATGAAAGCTCATTTAAATGATCTTAGGGAAAGTGCTGATGGAATAATAAGAGATTTTACTGATGGATTCGTATATCAAAATCATACCTTTTTTTCTAGTAATGGTCTTAGTATCGTTGTTATGTTATACCAAGATCGATTTGAGCTTACAAATCCTTGTAATTCTATGAATAAAAAAAGGAAAATGGTCGGTTTTTATCTAAATTTAGGCAATGTTCCAAACCAATTTCGTTCATTAGTACAGCCAATAAAATTAGTTCTTTTAATTGAAGAAAAAGTTTTAAAATATTTTTGGACATGCTAGGGTTCTGAGACCATTACCAGATGACCTTCGAGTACTAGAAGGACAGGGCATAAAAAGTAGTTATTTAACAGAAAATATTACAGGATCTTTACTATGGATAGTTGGAGACAACTTAGCCAGCCATAATATAGGTGGTTATGTAGAAAAGTTTTCTAGTGAAGGACCTATTTGTCGGTATTGTACGATGACTCTTCAAGAATTTCGAGAAGATCCATTTCATTTATGTGAATGGCGAACAAAGAAAAGCTATGATGATGACGTAAAAATGTTACAGAAAGATGACAATATATGGCGTAAAACCGGAATAAAAAGAAATAGTGTGTTTAATGAACTTTCAAATTTTCATGTAACAAGTGGTCTTCCACCGTGTCTTGCACATGATTTGTATGACGGAGTAGTCAAATCAGATCTTGCATTAATTTTAAACCAGATTATCAGGGAAGGATATTTGACAGATGATACAATCAGTGCACGTATATTCAAAGGCCCATTTAAAGAAGGTTTCAGAATTTGGAGCAAAAAATTTCATTAATCCATGTAAATTACTAGCAGAACAATATTAGGAAAGCCAATCATTACTTGATCAAAAAGTTTGTTTTTCGGATGACCTTGAATATGCACCAAGTTATAATGTCCCAAAAGAAGCATTAGTTAGAATGGGTTGTAAGTGCAGTAGTTGTTGAACGATGTGCTTGGGTAGATATTTGTGATGAACGTTTTAAAAAAGGTGTAGCAATCCCTTTGTATGAAAAAGATAGAAATATGTTCTTTGGAATTATTAAAATTATCTATAAATGTAGTGATGAACCTTTTGCATGGTGCGATTTATGCATCGGTGTTGATGATGATGATCATCATATTCATTTATTAAAATCTTATAATAAAACTTCTTGTATTTCTCTATCCGGACATTTGGACTACAGAATATTTCCAACATACCAATTTCAGTCTGATACTGTTATTGTTAAACAATCGTACATTATCGATAGTTAAGTTTTCTGTCTAGGGAGATGTTTTGAGCTTTTTGTGAGGGTCTCGGGTCAAAAATTCCTTTTCATTCTTACTTATAAAACTTTTTTGTTGTGCACAAGTTGAATTGAATAATAACAATGCGTTCTAGAGATCTACTCTCCGTTTCAAAATGGTTGGCACTCGGTTGCTTTTTGAATAACTTTTTAACGAAAAGTCTTAGCGGCCTGCGGTTTTCACCATCGTATAGAGGACACTTAAAGCCATATTTTTATAAGCAAAAACAAGTTTGAAAGAAATTTCACAGGCTGGTTTTTCAGGAGATCTTTGAAAAACC